AAAAAAGAAAAGGCAACAGATGCGTAATATTAAATTAGTATGAAGTTAACTTGAAAAACAAATAAAACGATCAAATTCTATCGTTTTATCGAAGTCATATGACCTACATACTTAATTTTATTCGTTCGAAAGAAAAAAACTCGAGTCGAGGGAGTGGCGCATTAAACTCCTTGAAAACGCAATGGGAAATATGTGCATACGCTGATTCTGATGACGAAGAAAGATAAAATACCACGTGCTGTATTACTGTTTTTTTTTCTTTCTTATATAAAAAGGAAGCGCAAACGACAACGACGACTGAATTAAAAGTGAATACCTGCAGAAAGACAAACGTACACAATTACACTATCATACAATACGAAAATAAATACAACTATGTTTTACATACATGTAATCAACCGCCTGATCTTATCCGATTATTATTCGTGATAAACAGAAGAAAAAAAGAACGGGGTTTTGTGGATTATTTTTTTTATATATTCATAGTTTATATTGGTCTGACAAGAATGACATAAAAAAACTATTTTTTTCCCTCTCATACGCATCGCAAACTAGAAGCTCACTTAACTATCGATCGTCGAGTTGAAGAGCGGAAAAATAGAACAGACACTACAACGAATCAGTTTACTGCTTGTCTCGTCTTTTCTTAACTTATATATTGACGATTACTGATCAATAATATAGTATTTTTCTTCCCTATTTTTGAGCTTATCTACAACGGACGCAGACTAAGGAAAGAAAAAGAAATATTCCTTCTATAGATGAACTGTTACCTATGTGGTTGATGAAGTTTTGCTTTTTTTCATATTTATATAATAAAAAAAGAAAATAACTTGCATCTTTGTTTTCATGCAATAACAGAAAAACAACATTTTCAAGAAAATGATTTAACTACATATGACAATTGAGAAAAGTCAATAAAAGTTGATGATAACATTGATAAAAAACTATTATTTGTCTGTTTACACCATTGTTCATTGACATTGTCATCAATATAAAGATGATAAAGAAGAAATTTTATTAAATTAACATTCGTCATCGATTCTGTTGATGTTGGAAAAACAATTGAATGATTTTTCCTACAAAAAAACAAATCATATTAGATTAAAATTAAAAAAAAATTGTAAAATTAAACCTTTGTGCAGGAAATAAAATTAATGTTGGATAATTATATGCCGTTAGATGCCATGGGAGATCATGTTTATCTGCTTGAATTCTTGAAGAAGAAAAAAACATTAAATTAATTTATTCATAAAAAATTCATATCTGTCTAACCTTGTAAAAATGAGATCATTAAAATTATTAAAAAATTTTTTTGTTTGATATAAAACTGGCCATATTGATTGACAAAATCCACACCATTTTGTATAATAAACAACGACTACATGCTAAAAATGAATATATTTATCTTTTGGAGAAAAATTTGTATTTATCTATTAACTTACTTTATCAGGATTAAATACAATGGAATAAAATGTATCAGTCGTAAGTTCAATAAGTTTATTGGAATGTTTTATCAATGTTTTATTATCCGGAATAGTTGTATACGAACGAGGTCGTACATTATATGATATATCATAAATAAATTTATCTAAAATAGAAAAATATCATTATTAAAAATTTTTCAAACTTAATTTTAAACTTACATACAGATATTTTCGGTTGTTATTTCATTATTATTTAAAATATAATGTTGTTCATTCTATAATAGAAGAAAAAAGAAACTTGAATAGAGATAGTGTATAAAATGTATTCGTATTTTTCTCTATCTTCTAGAAGAATAATCTTTTTATCAGTAAATAAAATCTAACAAAACAGTGACCTTGATAACAGTATAGATACGATATACTCCCAGGGGTTTGATATTTAAAAGTTTTATCTTTCTATAAGTAAATGATAACTAATGGTTTTGACTGAAGAAAAAGTTTAAATTTTGTCCTTTGATATAAGATTTGTTTATTAGTCATTATCAAAGTTTATCAAAAGAAACGAAGACTTTGAAACTATTCATGTCCTTACACAAGAAAGGTCATCATTTGTTTAGTTTTATATTTCGATTTTAAGTGATTTCTTCAAATGTTATAAAAACATTTTTTTTTACAATGTATCGAATATTTATATAAAAGATTACTTTCGAGGGCGGGTGTAAGATGAAGCCCATACTCTCACACGATTTTGCTAGGAAAAATCCTATTTTCTGATTAGTATAGAAAAGTAACCTCCAATAAGCAGCAATTTAAACCCACTGATCTAATATTATATTTATCAATCATTCTTCTTATATTCTATTACACGATTAATATAGTGTTAATAAACGTATGAGAAAATCCTTTTTTGTGAATTGATCAGTGTCAATATTTATTTCTTACTTGTGGTTGTAATACAACAATAGCTCTTGAATGATTTATAAGACCAATATTTTGTCCAAAATTAGGATAATCACGTGAATTAATTAATCGAAATGCCCATGTTGAATTCATTTGACATAAAAATCCTTTATATTTTTCTAGTGAATTATCATCATCAATAATTTTGCTTTGTTGATTATTAATAAATTGATCATAGAATTTTTCTCGTCGTTTTTCTAAAACAATTTCATGATTATAAGTTAATTTTTCTGGATACACTAATGTTGAATTTTTTAACCATTGATGACAATAAGTTTGAAAACAAATTTTTTGTAATGTTACATTTTCTAAAATCGGTAAACATACTTTAGCATGTTTTTTCGATAAATTAAATGATGATATTTGATGATTTAATACACATAAATTATATATATCCGTTGTTGGTAGTTGATTGAACGCATATTGACAACATGATGAAAGTAGATGACGTTGAGTTTTAGGTAAATTTTCTGTTAAATTAATTAATGAATGATTATATAAATTTTCAATTTGTTTTAACCAAAGAGATGAATAAGTTATGTTGCAATTTGAAAGATAAAGATAAATTTGACGCAACTAAAAATAAATATTTTAATACGTAAAATAAATTTCTTTATTTGTATTCATCAAAGCGAAGTTTTCTTTCATCACTGAAAATTATTTTTAGACTAATAACGTATTCAAAATGACATGTTCTATCATGCATATGAAAAGAACGAATCAGATTGAAAATTCTTACTTTTAATTCATCTAATTTGTTTGATGTAAAAAACAGAAGAAGATTATGATGATCAGTCAATGCATCGAATATAATTTCTTTATCCATTGATGGACTATGTGAATAATAACTATTTCTTGGTACAATCCAACTAACATGTGGCTTTTTCTATAAGAAAATATGATTGTAAATTTATTTTGTTTTTTTTCGTAAAAATACACTCACATGTTCATTAATAACCCATTGAAAAAGATTTTCCATTGTAAAATTATTTGTCATATTTGGAAATATCTAAAAAGAAATTTAAGAAGAAAATAAAAAATTATTTTTTTCCATCTAACCTGCGGTTCGGAATCTAATCGATGTAAAATAACAAATGGTTTTTGAAAATTAGTATTATAAAGTTTTGATATTTCTTCAACAATCGATTGATTAAGAATAACAGCAAAACGTGTAGGATATTCATTGTCTATTTCCCAAAAAAAACAAACGAAGATATATATTTATAGTTTTTTTCTTCTTTACCATATTCAATATGTTTAAGAGCTGCTTGAGCATACAAAGAATAATGATATCTTTGTAAATCATTAGAAAAATCAAAATAAGCTAAAATATTAGACTAATAAAATAATTATATAAGAAAAATATTTTAATTTATATATATATATGTTTACTTCATATTGAACAGTAAAATCTAAAAATTCATTTATATTTGTAAGTCTTATTACAGGCATTCGAATTTTTTCAATAAATTCAATTAAATTTGTTGCAATTGTAGCTCCAAAATATTGATAACCACGTGTACCTTTTACATATAAAAACATATGAGGAAAATAATTAAGTTTATAAGTTTTTCGACATTGTCCATCATAATAAAAACAATCAACTGCTATAAATTTAACCTTAAGAAAAAGCAAAAAGCATAAATTTTATTTATTTATTATTAAATGTTTACATGAAATTTATCTAATGTATTATTTTCATGATGAATACGTTCTCGATAGAAAGCAGCAGCTTTTTCATATGGATCACGCATTCGTCGACTAATACCACAGAAATCTATATGAAAGAAAATAAATTATTTAAATTCTTTAAGAAAATAGATATCAGCAAGAATTTAAAATATGCGTTAAATGTCATAAGATTTTACGGTTAATTTAAGTGTGCTCCTGATTTGGAGTTTACAGATATCTAAATTTTCGCGAAAAACTCTACTTGAAAACTGTAATCATTTGTTTTTGATTGCCCTGATAGGTATTCGGGACTGTGCTGAGTTGACTGGTGATGCATAACCCTCCGGTGGTGTTTGTAGGCTCAAGAGATCCACGGCAGTGTTTTTTTTCTACGTTAAGATCTATGCAATTCGAAGCGATCTTTTCGCTAATCTTCTAATGATGCATGAGAACCATATGAAATTTCTTGCAAAACTATCAGCAGTGAAAAGCAAGTGTGTGAGTCCACTAGGATCCCTAATAACATTCCTGTTATATAGATGGTTTTAATTCGTATTACGTATGCTATATATTGTTTCGAAGGTCTATCTATTGAAGATTGATTAGTTTGTTGCTGCCAGTAAGGAATAATATGTTTCTCTGTCGAAATATTTTCACCATCCTCTTAACTTTTGCTCACGATACTCGTAATCGTTTTTTTTCCTTGAAAAATCAGTACCTTACGTATACTACAAGCGTATCAATGCATCAGTGACTGAAAAGAGATCATGATATAGACATCGATCTATCTTATGTATTTACATGTGGGTCCATTTGGACCCACGTGCATCGTTCGTGTAACAAAAAGCGTACACCTCCGGAAGGTTAAGAAAAAAAAGCGCATAGTTACAAGCTATCATTTGTCGAAAAACTTGAAACTCGCTTATCTTGACTAGATTTTACCTATTTCCTTTATCTTTTAATATCTATTGACTTACTTGCATAATACATAACAAAAACAAATGTATGAGAATTAATTGTCTTTGAAACTTGTGCCAGATTTCCATCATAATAATCATCAATAAGTTTTTTTGATGAAGTAAAAAATGGCCGTGGTTCTTTGTATGTTCCCGTATCCGATGAGAAAAGCCTGAAAATAAAAAATATTATATTCATATAAATCATTCTATTCCTACCGAAATGTATCACTCGATTTTGTTAATAATAATATTAATAAGATTAAACTAATCACATTATTGCACATTCTATTTTTCAATCAAGAATAGATAAAAAAAATACGACATACAGAAAATATTTAATCATATATAATTGTTTTTCTTTTTGTTATAAATATTAAAAAAAATCAAATACAAAAAAAAGGAAATCAAGATTTGGAATAAAATTTTATTAAATCTCTCGCAGCTTGTAAATCTAAATAAATAAATAGAAAATATTCTATGTTTTTCCTTATTTGAAAAAAATCTTACCAGAAAATAAAACAGCAAATTGTTCTGCATTCATAGAAAATGAAATCGATTTCGATTGATTTTCTAAATTATCATCATAATTTAAATTCATTGTTACTATAGGTAAATGCATATCATGTAAATTATTTGTCGCTTTTATATCATACATATTCCATTGAATATCATTCATTTTAGTTACTAAAACAAAAACAACAACGATTTTTTCTAAAAGATGAATAATAGAAAATTTACATCGCATAATAGATGTTCGTAATTTATCAATTAATTTGTCAAAATTTTCATCATAGACTTTAACAAAAGCATTTGCATGTTCTAAAAATATGTAAATTAATATTAAAATCAATTGGATGAAGAATAAAACTATACCTTTAGGAAGACCAAGTTGTATAAGTTCATTTAATAAAGATTGCCCATCGACGGAATGTTTAGCTGACATTGTAAGAATATATTGTAAAGCACGAATTGATGCTTTTAAATCACCACTCTCTATTTACAATATTTAATTTATTATATCAATGAATACAAGTAAAATTTTATATATTTACCAAATTTATCACTAACTAATTTTTGTGCTTCACTAAACTAAAAATCGAACAAATATAATAATCACAAATCTAAACTAGATTTTCCTTTTACATTTAAATTATCTGTTAATATTGCTTGGATGACTTGTTGACATAATAGTTTCAATTTAACTGAACTCTAAATATAAAATTTCGATGAATGATTAAAAATATATATGAAAATAATTTTACTAGTTTGGATAATGTAAAGATTTCAGCCAATATCCAATCAGCACAATCTTCACCACCACAAAAACGGAATCGCTAATGTTAAAAAAAAAAGAAATTTATTATATGATATAAAATTTATCAAAGAGTATCTAAAGAATAGTTTTATATTCAAATAAAATATTTTAAAATGCACTTTCAAGATGTTCATTGTAGTTTATGCCTAGCCATTTTCTCAGTAATTAAAAATTGTCGATTACACACAGAAAGTTTAAAAAAACATTTTTTCCTTAATGATATTTCTCAAGCGTCATCAGTAGATTTTTTTTGTTAAAAATAGAATTTGTTGGCTTCAAAAATATTTATATAATTGAAAAGATTATCATCTATCGGAAGTATTAATATAGATATTTTTACTTTTAATAATAGTTGCTATTTCGTCTTTCACATAATAATCTCGTAGGAGTTACACTTATTTACCTACATTCTAACAAAATATAGAATCAATCTTTGAAGAAAGCTACAACGAATATTATTATTATCGATTTCCTCTAGAGATATTTGTTTTGATCGGCGTTATATATAAATATTCAAATGAAATAGCTGTTCCTGAATTAATTATAACAAGAAAAAGAATTGATTCTTTCATTCTTCAAAAATTTGATAGAAGTGAAGGTGCACGTAATCATTTTATAGCTTATTAGAGAGCAAAAATCGATATTATATCTTGTACAAAACAAACAATATTGCTATAAATACTTACCATATTTAACTTTTTACTCTAAATCTAAAATAACAAATGAAAACGCTCAAATATCTTGTTTCTTTCTTTTTGTCATCATATCAATCTGATGTTTATTTGTTATAAAATATAACTGAACAGAAAAAAGAAAACAATGATGACATAAAATGACAACTAAAACAAATTTATTTTTTGTAGTTTAAATCTCATAGTTGTCCGGAAGAGAATTTTTCTTTTTTTTACGCTTTCGATTCCGATAATCGTGTTGATGAACGACGTTTTGATTCACTACGTTTACGTTCACGTTTTTCTTTGGCATATTGTTGAAGTAATTTAGCATATCTAAGAGAGAGGGAGAAAATTAATTTAAATACAAAAAAATGAATTTCTTAACATACTCATTTTGAAGTACACGTTGTTTTTCAGCACGTCGTTTTTTCAATGCTAATGCATGTCTTTTACGTTGAATACGTCTTGGTGTAATTAAACGTTGAATTTTTGGTGCTTTAACTCGTGGTTTTTTACTTTCTTTTGTTAATGGTCGTTTAACAACATATTTTCTAACATCATCTTCTTTACTTAAATTAAATAATTTACGAATATGATTAGCACGTTTTGGTCCAAGACGTCGTGGAATTGTTTTATTTGTTAAACCTTCAATATCTCCTTCACCACGTTTAGTAACAACACAAGCAATGACGGATAAATTTGCATCAACAATACAACCGCGAACTGATTTACGTTTACGTTCACCTTTTCGTCGTTGACGATAACATTTATGACGTTTATCAAGTAATAAACGTACACGTTGATTTGTTAAAACACCTTGCATCATTGGAAAACCTTGTTTATCGTTTCCACCTGTGATACGTAATGTATAACCTTTCCATTCATTTCCTAAACAACTAGCATCAACTTCTTGAGCAATGCGTTTTTCCATGAATGGACGTAATTTACGATCATCATCGATGTCGAGTAATTTTTGACAACCGGTTACCGGATAAGCTATGTTAAGCTTCATGATTGTAGATCTAAAAACGAAAAGATTTTCTCTTTTTTAGTTTTTATTAAACTCGATGAAAATAAAATAGATGAATGAGAATGTATGTAGAAGAAAACAAAACGTCGATAAACTATGAAACCAATCATATATTTCAATGATAAAATAAGAGAGGACTGGCTGAGAGTCTCAGTTTTTTTTAGATGTCGCATTAAGTCATTCATGGAAATGTTAAACGAATGAAAAAAAAACAATTCTTTATATAACTTTTCAGAATGCATCGAATATTTGCCAGTCTACTTTCTGAAGGTAAAAATCATGTTTTTTTT